CTGGCCGAGCTGGAGCTGGAGCTGTCGGAAGGTGAGCGGCCCGAACCCGGACCCGAACCCCCGCGCGGCCCTCGCGCCGGACCCGGACCCCCGCGCGGCCCTCGCCCCCGGACCCGGGCCTCCGCCCTCACTTGGCGATCTGGAGACCCCTCTCCCACCTCCTCAGCCGGGACCCTTTACATCTGAGACCCCCGTCATGCTCCTCGCACCTGGGACCCACAGGCCCCTGCCTGGCGTCTCGTAATGGGATCCCTGACCCTTTGGCCTTTGGGCGCCCGGTGGGACCCTGCGCTTTGCCCTTTGACTGGATGGTTTGGCCTGAGGCGCGTAAATCTTGATAGGAATGACTATTTTTGTTCAAGCAGTAAGCAGTGAATGTCCGAGCCCAAGGCTGCAAGTCTTCACAAGAGTGCTATGTGGTGTGCACCTGTGAGCCCAGCCTTAGCCCTGTGTGCCTCAGTTTCCTCCCCTGTAAAACGGGGTTATAACAGCAGCTGCCTCTCCGGTTTGTGATAAGGCTAAAATACCTTAACATATGCAAAGCACTTAACACTTAGAAGGAAAATTGTTAGCCGCTTTTACGGAATTTTTAAAAATTAAAAAAATATGTTCCATAAATGTATGTTTGTTAAAAATAGACTGGAGTAATTCAGCTTTAGAGGTGGTGGGTGGCTTTCCCCGTCTAGATGTTCTCTCTCCCCGAGGCGTGTGTACTTAAATGCATTTTCATCTTTTAAAATCTATTTTTTCATAGTCTTATTGTTCTTATTTTATGTTTCAGGTTGATATGTTTGGCTCAGGTTGGGGTAGTGAATTCTTGAAACAACCAACTAATAAATATGTACTGGCTTGTACTAATTCATTTAATTCTCACCAAGGTTAGGGAGGTAGGTGCTGTTGTTATCTTTGTTCTACAGATATGACAACATCTACTTACAAGTGTTTTGAATTCAACATTCGAATTTTTAAAAGTTCTGTGATATGTAGCACAGTTTTTTAGTGGAAGTACAATAAGAAATGGGTGGATTTGAGAATTCTTGGTGACTAGATGCTCTTGGGAAGATTGAAAAACTCAAGTTAGGAGTGGTTCTGACAGGAACTACTGTCCTGAATTTGTTATAGTGCTTCATCCAGGGAAAATCATGTAGATGCAGTTTAGATTTTACACATTTGAAATATGTTTTTGCAGATTGCACCTAATTTCTGCTCCAGTGGATTTTGTATTCTCTCAATTCCTTGTTTTGTGTTTGTGTTTGAGTGCTTTCTAGTTGACTGTTAGATAAGATTAGATCCTTTCCTCCAAGAACTTCGTAATTTATACGACAACGTGCATGAAGACAAGTACTTCAGTGAAAGAAATGCTTTTTATGCATTGAATCCATTTATGCTGTTGTCATTTTAGACATATGTAGGGGATATATAGATAAAATATAAAATTACATGGAAGTGGAGAGGAACCTGGAAATGTAGCTTAAGTTGAGGAAGGGGATGAACAAAATGTTAAAGGGAAGGGACAGCAGAGTGCAGCGGCAGCCAAGGAGGCAGGAGCCCTGGCTTCTGTCCCAGCTCCTAGACTGGCCTGACACCATTCTTTTGGCCCAAATAGGTCAGTGATTACTCAGGCACAGTCATGCTTGGCCCTCCTCCCAGGGTGCTTGCACACCTTTGATGCCGGCTTCTTCAGTTTGTGTTGTGATTGTTGTTGACACGAGGCCTCCCCATTGGACTTGGAGATGCTTTTTGATAGGGACTGTGTCTTAGGTAGAGTTTTGACATCTTCACACAGTGTCTAGCATCTGGTAAGTGTCCATGAATCTCCACTGTCCATGAATCCCCACTGAATTATAACATCTCTGAAGTTGGGTTTGGTCAGCTGTAAAAGAAGATGAACACCAGCCTTACTAACGTCCACAGTTCTTGTGAAGATTCAGTCAGAGGGTATATGTGAAAGTGTGTTGAAACTGGTAAGGTATTTTATTTATATAATTAAAGGAAGGTATTATTAATGAAGCATAGTTCTAAAGCAACTGAAGTTAGTTTCACTGTCATTATTATTTTGGTATTTTGATGAAGTAGAAATAGAAAGTGGAACCCTCTTTGTCCTGTGCTTTCTCCCCCTACATTTGCGGGGGAGATAAAATTATAATTCAGAATAAAGTAATGTCAAAATAGGATGACTTCACAGCACTCACATTTGTCCAAATGAGAAATTGCTTACAACTTAGAGTCAACACTGCTGGGCAGGTTGGAGGGAAGAAGAAATAACAGACAAAATGCTGTCTTTGTGGAGACTGTTAGTGAGTGATAGATACCTGGATAATCTGGAAAATCCTGCATGACTTCCCCTCAGCCTATACACAAGCAGTGATTAGTTGAAAGTATGCCTGGCCTTTATTCATAACTCACATGTGGTGGTGTTCTTCAACATCCTCGCTGGATTCTCCCATTGTAATTGGGATTGGCCCTCAGGGAAAGTTCTGGTCTTAGAATGCACTGATTTCTTCCCAGAGAGCAGGTTTGCTTATTACTTTCTGTTATGGAGTCCCAAAAGGGAAATAAGGCACAGCTGTGATCTTGCTCTCTAAATTTCCTGGCTGTTTTGTCCTCTTTGATTTAGGATCTCCCTTCAAATTAAGATGAGGAGCACGCTTTTCTTAGACTCCCCCCACCAAGAACACACTTAGAAGAATTCACACCTATGGCTCCTCAAAGTGTATCAGAATGTCCATGGTTGAAAATGAGGTTATTAGAGGTATAACCTTGATTTTTAATAAAAGAATTAATTCCCAAACACGTGTGCTTTGTCTAGTATTGTATCAAATTACCTTTGATAGGCCTCACAACTGATTTTGGTACTGAACAGTATCTTGGGGCTATTCTGCTGAACCGCTTTAAAATGTGGATGATGGTGTAAGGTTTGTCCTTCGTCTTAGTGACCTGCAGTGGCTTAGAGAGGAAATTCCTACACAATAGGCTACATTTGTCCCACTCCTGTTTCTTTATTCTGGATAATAGGTCTATTCTGTAGCTTTAACTGTAGTCTGTTTCTTGTTTTTGTGCATTCTGATAAAGCAGGGGCCTCAGCCTGGATGGAATAGGGGAAAAGCTCTGTTTGTGGGTGTAGAGGAAGGGACTTCTTCACAAAGCTTTTTTCCTCTTTAAAAGTCTTTAATTTCTAAAATTTGTGGTATAATTCTTAGTTTTCAAAATGACAGTCTGACATTGCCTTCACATCAGTAGACATTTGTTGTGCTTCCTAAAGATTTTGTGGTATATTAAAGTTCTCATGTCCAAATTCTATTTACCTGTCAAAGCCCAGCCCAAATGCCTTCTTGTTTTGATCCTTTCCTGATCATCTCTGATGTGGCTACTTTCTTGGTGTTCTCATCACACTTGCCCCATCTTTTGGAGTTCTTGCTACTTTTTGTTTTTTGCATTGTTATTGTATATATTCATTCAGTAATTATTGAGTGCCCACTGGGTGCTAGCTAATGTTTCAGCTGACAAAGGTTAGGTTTAGCCCTGTTTCTTCGTTGATCATAAGGCTTTGCATAATGTTGTATTAAAAGATAATGCAGATACACATGGCAGAGAAATGAAACAGTTCGAAGGAAATGTGGGGTAAAGTGAGCCTCACTCCTAACCCCCCACCTCTCCCCAGAGGTGGGCTCTGGTATCCATTTCCTGGGTTTCCTTCCAGAAGTAATCTTGCAGTCATTCCCAAACCGTGGTTCACAGACTCTGGGGGTCTCCGAGACTCTTTCTGGGGGCCTATGAGGGAAGACTGTTTTTATGATAATACTAAGCTGTCGTTTCTATTTTCCCTGGTGTTTGCACTGATGGTGCAAAAGCAGTGCTGGGTAAGACTGCTGGTGCTTTAGTGCAAATCGAGGCAAGGGCCCCGAGTCAAACTAACAATCCTTGCGTTCTCCACCACTTCCTCACTTGCAGTAAAAACAAAGTGCCACTTTCACTTAAACATATCCTTCCTTGATGAAGAAGTCAAAATTAATTTTCTGAAATCTCGACTCTTCAGTACTCGTTTTTTTAATAGTCTACTTGAGGAAATGGGAAGTGCACATAAAGCACTTCTGCTGCACAAAGAGGTAAGGGCCTGTTTTGAGGAGCAGCAGTTGTGCAGTTTGAGTTGCAAAATGAGCTAGCCGCTTTTGTTGTGGAATGCCATTTTTACTTGAAAAAATGGGCGACAGACAAGCTATAATTATTCAGACTTGGGTATTTGATAGACATTTTCTGGAAAATAAATAAAAGAGAACTGTCAGAATTTATGGCCAGTGATAATATTTGTGCTTTCAAAGAAAAATTTAAATTTAAAAAAACTTATCTGCTACCATGAGCTTGACAGCTTCCCAGTACTTAAAGACTTTTTTTGATGAGATCAGTGGCAATATTAATGAATGTGGGTTTTTGGTGTTATATAATGAAATGTGTCAACATTTGGTAGATCTGCATAAGTCTATGAATCAGTATTTTCTAAATGATCAATGCATCATATTACGAATCCGTGCATGGGTAAAAGATCCATTCAAAAGATAGACCAGTGGATTGTAATGTAATAGTACGAAAAATTCATTGTTATCGTTTTAGATTCTACATAGCAATTATTCTTTAAGTAACTAACACTTGCCTAGTTTTGATGTGGTATCAAAGAAGAATGTCCACAATAATCTGAAAAGACTACTGAAATACTCCTCCCTTTTCCAACACATGTCTGTGAGAGACTAAATTTGTTTCATAGACTCAACCAAAGCCACATATTGCAGCAGATGGAATGCTGAAGCAGATGTGAGAATCCACTTGTCTTCTGTGAAGCCAGATATTAAAGAAACTTGTAAAAGTAAAACAATTCCTGTACTCACTAAATGTTTTTGGCTTCGTAAATCTATTATTTTTTTATAAAAAATATTATTTATGTTAACATGATAGGTTTATTATAAAAAAATTTAAGTGAATTAAATATTTTTAAAGTTTCACAGTTTTAATTTCTAATATGGTAAACATTGATAGGTATAACCCACACAAACAAAAGCTCTTCGGGGTCCTCAGTAATTTTTAAGAGTGTAAGGGAGTCCTGAGTCTAAAACCTTTGAGAACTGCTAGTCCATGAGACTCTAACAGAACTTTTAAGGAAATATCTAGATGTCATCGTGTATTTATTTATACTTTTTATAATATATTTTTTAGCTAATGCCTGGTATAATAAGGATTTCTTTATATATGTAAGGACAATCAGATGTTTCAATTTATAATATTATAATTTAAAATGTTATAATTATAACTTTAAAATATATCGTTATAATTTAAAAATTATACTGTTGGTTGTGTGCCACTTTAGCAAAATCCGTTATTCATGATTCAGGAATATTCCCTTTAGAGTTCTTTCTTTTCATAGTGTATCATCCTAGTGCAGTTGTCTCTTTACAGAATTTTTATTTATAAGTTTTTAAAAGAATATTAATACTATGATTTCAACTTTAATATCCTAAAACGTTGCATATACTGTCCATTGCCAACTATTCTGTACCTGTTGAATTCCTGCCTTTAAGACTTGTTTAGGGCCAGCCCCGTGGCTTAGCGGTTAAGTACACGCACTCCGCTGCTGGCGGCCTGGGTTCGGATCCCGAGCGCGCACCGAGGCACCGCTTCTCCGGCCATGCTGAGGCCGCGTGCCACATACAGCAACTAGAAGGCTGTGCAGCTATGACATACAACTACCTACTGGGGCTTTGGGGGAAAAAATAAATTAAAAAAAAAAAAAAAGACTTGTTTAAGCTTTGCTTTCTGTTTGAAGCTCTGCCTTCCTCTAGGAACCACCCCCCCCCATCAGATGCTTGCTGTTCTGTGTCCCTTTAGCACTCATTGTATCACTCTAGTAGGGTTTATCACAATATTGTATTTATTTGCTTGTCTTTTCTTTGCC